GCCTTCTGTAGTGAATCGATGCGTTTTTGTAAGAAAAATATCCATATTCAAAACGTAATAATCACTTAAATCTAGCTTGCGCTCACTGTTGTAAACAGAATCAGTTCCGGGGGAATGACATATGAGGTCGGCTTTGCGCATGCACCGCTCAGAAGTGACGCATGCGGAAACGCAGCGGAGAGATCAAAACAACGGTCAAGAATTAGAAGTACAAAACGAGGATTTGTAGAGAAGAATGTCAGAGGATTTCGAAATAAGCCAAGAGGAGACTGGTTTTCCTTTGCTAAAGTAAGGAAACTTTGCTTCCTCATACGTCATGCTCCCGGAACTGCTTCTGTGTACAACTGTTGGCGCAAGCTACATTAAAGTGATTACGTTTTGAATATGGATATTTTTCTTACAAAAACGCATCGATTCGCTACAGAAGGCCTTTGTTCACCCCCCGGAGCCGTGTGAGACACTTTTTTTTATGGATGGGCGATTTTTATTTAAGTTCTTTTGGACTGAAGCAATGCAACACCCACTGAGTGGCATTAAACAGCTTGAAAGATCAAAGACAATTTTTAATATAACTCCGACTGGATTTGTCTGAAAGAAGAAAGTCATATACACCTAGGATGCCTCGGGACTGAGTAAAATGCAGCCTAATTTTAATTTTTGGGTGAACTAACCCTTTAAATTGCAGCGCACTGAGATCTCTCGGCCACTGTAAATATGACTCTAGATGTTGTGTTTTTTATTCCATTTACTGCCTGCTTATCGCAGTTTGACGTGTTAATTGTGGCAAAAGGCATAACCTACTATATAATGAGACTAGTTTACATTGAAAGGTGTGTTTCTGCTAAATAGAATGACATTTAATTTAAAAACAGTGCTGCCGACAGAGAACCTGGTTAAATCAAGGTTAATTAGTTAATAAAACTATAACTAATTAACTAAAATAATTTTTTTGCTTTAAATCTTACGCATATAAAATTTGCGAAACTGTGTAGTGAATACATCCCACAATGAGACGGTATTGCAGTAATGGATGTTTTTCCTAGGGAAGTCTCCAGATATGCTTCCTTCATCTCAATAGAATTGAATTACCATCAAACAAGATACATGAAAAATTACCACGCCAACATCAGATCTGCCCCAGCTGAGAAATTATGCTTATGAAAAAAACAACAACAACAACAAAAACAAAATTATATCATCAACGGACAGATGATTTAGTTTAACTATTTGAAGGGTCAGGTTGATTTTAAATACTATAAAGACAAATCTGATTAGTCGTGATTAAAAACAGGCTGCTTGACCCTTAATTGTCTGTAATTTGAAGGCAAATTACTGTTTTCTTGCACAATGGATGAATACATTAGCCCTCACATCTGCTTGGGAATCCTCCTGCCTGGGCGATGAGACATTATTTCATGAAAACATTAAAGATAAAAATGTGGCAGGCAATATGTCTATCTTGAAATGCAGTGTTTTCAAAAACATTGCTTTTCAAGTTTAATTTACTTGGCTCATTTGGTTGTGTTGTGCACATCGTAAAGGGATTTGGTTGGTTTTACGTTCATATGTATTATATTTTGAAGTCTTTATACAGATTTTGTTTTGAAGATCTGTTCAAGCTTTTTGTTATTAGCCCAGTATCCGAATATGCCTACTTACCTACTACATACTATGTCAAAAGCAGTACAAATGAGACCCGGATGACCAGCTATGATGGTTTCTTGTTCCACGTGTTTTGTTTCATATCAATAAATCTCCATTAATGGCATTTGCCTCTGCTGTATCCACAACAATGTGGCAACAAACAAAAACGCTAAGCCTTGGAGAGTGAAAGTATTTAAAATCAATCTAAAGATAACAACCAAGAGCCGGTCTCCTGTTCTCGCACAGCATCTGCTCTCTGATTAAACTCCTCATCTGCCATTGAAGTTGAGGAATGAAGAAGGTCAACTCCAGGGAGAGCAGGCAGAGCGCGATGGATCCTGCCCCCAGGGCAGATGCTGCCGGTGGGAATAAAGCCACAGTCTCAGTCTGCTGCACCTGATAATCACTGTCTCAGCCAGTGTTTGTTGAAAGGCAGGGCAAGGGAAAAAGGGTTGGCTCTGACCTGTCAATGATGGCACACATGTCCAAGCTGACGTTCTCGAAGGCTCCCATCCTTCCCTGCTCCACTGCGGTGAGGTCAGCCAGCTGATCGTCCACCTGAATGAGCTGCATGCAGCCCTGGAACGAGCGCTGGATGGGAGATGCTCTGGTTCTTAAAAAATAACCTAAACAAACAAAACACACAGCAAAGATGTTACGTGCCAAAAAGAGATACTGTATGTTATGACCATAATGACATAGTATTTGATTATTAAAGCTTAAAGGGATAGTTCACCTAAAAATGAAACATTCTGTTATTAATTACTCACCCTAATTTTATGAAGCTGAGAATACTTTTTTTTTGTGCGGAGGTCTTACGGATTTGGAACGACATGAGGGTGAGTAATTAATGACAGAATTTAAATTTTTGTGTTACAAAGCACAAGAAAAAAGCATCTCTAAGATTTGGCATCTGTAAGATTTTTAAATGTTTTTGAAAGAAGTCTCTTATGCTTAGCAAGGCTTACCAATTTATTTGATTAAAAACAGTAAAAACATTATATTGTAAAATATTAATTAATAATTAATTTTCAATGCGATTTAAAAAAACTTTTCAAGTTTAATATATTTTAAAATATAATTTATTCCTGTGATGACAATGCTGAAGTGACATGATCCTTCAGTAATCTTTGTAACATGCAGATTTGGTGCTTAATATTTTTTTTTGGGGGGGGGGCTGTAGTGTTTTATTTTTATTTTTCACGATCCTTCAAAAACAACATTTATTTGAAATAGTAATCTTAATATGTTAGATGTTTTTACTATCACTTTTGATCAATTTAATGCATCCTTATAAAGTAATAGCATTAATTTATTCCACATTCTTTTCTTTCAACTTTATTTAACAATTTTTTTAATTAAATACAATTATAATTATTTAAAAAATACATTGTCATATTTTGAAGACACACTGTAAAATAAAATGAAAATTAAAATACTAAAATAAAAACATGAGCTTATAATGAGGGCCTGTGTATATTCAATATTGACCGATTTTGATATACTAAAATCTCTCTAACTGTGGCCAGTAATCAACATATGTTATAGTAATCAACGTATGTTATATAATGACCTCTGATATTAACCGCAACTCAACATAATTTCTAAAAATAATCCTGTCCGAATAATGCTTTAATTATAACTGACCTGTGCTGGAGAGCTCCTGAAATAACCACTATGAGTGAGACACTTAACCTCATACAGTAGGATTGAGATTTGTGTATGGCATCGCTCTGGATAAAAAAAAGGTCAAACTAAATTAAACACAAAAATAAAGTCACTGAGTGTGATCTAATGTCATATGTGTGAAAGGTAACCTAATGTCACATGTATAAAATCTGAACGTAAGGACCATTAACTGGAGAAAAACCTATCAACCTAACCTCATTAACCAAGTGATAGTTTTGACACCAAAAAAGGTAAAGCACATCGCAAACAATCAGCTAACTTTGATGCTACTAATGAGATAAAAACACCTAAAAATACCGAACAAACCCAGATTAGACGGATTTCTTCACACGGACCGCTGATATTCCTGGGAGAACATGCGGAACTTAGACCCCAATGATCTGGAGAATCCTTAGGGTCGGTTACGCTTGCATTAGAGGTAAACAAAGCTTTCCATGATGCTGATCACAGGAAGGTCTATTGAGATTCACCTTGCAGCCCCCTGACATTAATCTACAAATGAGAGCATCTGGAAGCATCAGTGTTTGCAAGGAGCTTGCTTAAAAAATAAAATAAGAGAGAGAAAAAACAAAAACAAAAGTTCCTCAAGTTTGCTGGGCCATCTGTCTTGTCTGCTTCCTGCACCTGTCCAGGAGTCTATATGCCTGAGCAGTCAACAGAGGAGGATGAGGAAGGTGGGCTATTGGAAGACACGCTGAGGGAAATGCGTCTCACTACAGAGGAAAACAAGAAAAAACGCGAATCTGCTGACAAATTAAGGCAGGGCTGCGGTGGCATCTCAATGATCGCCAGGATTTGTGGGGATCTGGAAAGCCACCAGGATCTGTGATCAACAAGGGACGTGGGAAAAGGCAGGTTTTTGTCACCCACGCTCGGATGCGACTTCCCGGTGACTGCTTTTGTCCCATTCTGCTGTCGTAATTAATTGAGGAGAGACACTTTTCTGACAAGATAACACTCTAAATTATGGCTGAGGCCCACAACTCACACTCCTGACTGGGTTTCTGAGTAGCTTCCGCATGACTGTGTTTACGTGCTGCTGATGATTTTGCAGGGATTGGAGAATAACTACTATAAGATTAATGAGCGTTTATGGGCTTCATGTATTATTCATGAATGGTAAATGGAATATGGAAGATTCCTGTGGGAAGCCCTTGTTGTAAACTTTTATTCTCATCAATAAACCTGGTGCAGATGTTAACTATTTTTGTTTATTCTGCATTGGCAAGTTCATAATGATATAAAAGTGTATCCAGCAATAATTGACAGGAGATATTATGAAATGTGCAATCAAATTGCGAGTAAAACAACCATTTTTCCTAAAGCCGGGCTCACACTACAGGATTGAAAGACTAGCCGAATCACTGTGTTGCTCACACTATGCAACAAGACTTGTTCTCATCTGTCGTCGTCTTGTCATAGCTGTGCGCATACTACACAACACAACACAACGCTAACGAGGTGCACACACTACAAAACATTCAGTGAGGAGTCGTTCCCGACCATCAGCGAAAATACGTTTTCTCACATAAATTCTCATGAGAAATTACAGCGATTATAGGCCATATCTTCAAGCATGGACGATCAACTGGGCCTTCAATTGATCTGTGCAGTTATTTTATCCGAAAGAAAGAAGAAACCACGACAAAAGAGAATATGGCAGAAACAATGGCTTGGAAGACGTGGACAACAAGGACTGTCAGTAGTACAGAAAGAGTTGGAGGTAATTAAACAGTAAAATGAAACGTGGTATTATATACACAATCTATGCATTTGTTAAATTTATTTCTAGTTAGTTGATTTGATTAATTTGTGGCTTTTCGTGTCTGTTCATAAAGATGCATGATAAGAGTGTTTATACCATCTGCACTGTGATTGGTTAGATTGTTCCACTTTGTCATTGTGTCGCTCACATTACGAGATCACGTGGCGATAATATCAAACAGGTTTGAAAATATCGTAGCGTCTGTGATAGCTCGAGACAGGTTCGGATCACGTTGCTGACCTGCTCATACTTAACGATTTGGTCATGATCTGGGGGTTTTGTCGCAGACTGTGGAAATCCAGACTGTTTTTGAGTGTATTAAAAATAATAGCCAAAAAGTCAGCAGTACTGTACCAAATAAAACCACTACATGCCATATACTGCTTCAGAAAATCATTTGAGAGTCCCTTTTCTTTATTCCACTCTATTAGAAAGTCATCAAAACAAAAGCTGACCTCCTACAGGTTGATGGGTATTTTAAAATCCTAATCTGCAGCACAAGAACTCTACGGCCCTTCTATGTTTAATGCTGTCTTCTTTATTACAAAATCCAATCTACTGCCATCTCCCATCAGACAGTCATTAATTCGGTGAGGTCTGCCACAAATGTGCAGAACCATTCTCTGTAAAATGGGTTTGGGAGACTACATCTAACCAGAGAGAATGTCGGGAGACAAGCATTCCCTTTCTTGGAAAAACAAAGAGCTATTCTCGCTGTTCCACTGCAGACAGCTAAATACATATGAGAGGTCTTTTGGAGACATCGGAGACTGATGGGAATTTTTTTGTTTGCTAGGATATTCCATTATGGCTTAAGCGATCAAACGTGTGCTAAAGCTAATTATGTTTTGTTCGCAAAAGTCCAAGATGAGCATCTTGGGCTCTTTGTCACATAAGGAAGAGGCAAAACTTTTAAAATTATGAATGGGATACGTTGCAGTGTTCACTGAACAGGTTTCATTAGAGACTTTTTTTTTATATTGTCACAAAAATATATTTATTTTCATTAAAAATGTATGGTGAAACATAATATGTGCAAAAAGGTTTTGTTTAAATGTAATTTAAAAGCATGTAAATATAGGCAGTTGGCAGAGCAAAAGGGATTGTTCACCCAAAAAAGAAAATTATTTTCTTTCTAATGCAAACACAAATCGGACCCCACTGATATCAAATAAACAATAACATAAAATAAGTATTTTCATTTTTGGTGTGCTAGACCTTATTTTGCTCTATAACAATGGGGATTTTTACCTCAAATATAAATTTTGAGGCAAGGCAATTTATTCATATAGCACAATCAATTTTAATTATTTCACAGTTCAGTGTTGTTATGGTTAAATAAAACTGTTAAAATACTTTTTATTTTGGTAATTGAAAAAAGCAACACAATAAAATCAAATGAATTAATTAAAATTAAAATTAAGGAAATTAAATAAAATCTGAATATTAGCAAAGAACTTTAAAATATAAAAAAGTAGAAATGTTGAAGACAAAATCTGAACCCTATACAATATTATATCTATATATCTCATGTATTAAATTTGGGCCTTACAATGTTCTGAGCACACATATCAAAGCTCTCGCAATACTTGTCTGAAACAAACACTGTTTTTAATTTTTTTTTCTTTCTTTTTTTCAACAGCATGTCTAACCTCTGGAAGGCAGGGAAATGCCAGGAGTTGTGGAAACACAATGTGCATGAGGCCAGTCTGTCTTTCCCTGTAATGAGGATCTGAATCAGGCGTAGAACTGTTACCAGAGGCTTATCTTGCACAAACACACATGACTGTCTTTGTTCTTTAGAGTCATTATCTCAAGGCTGATAACAATAATAACCCACCGGTAGAGGCACAGAGGGTTCACTTTCCAATCTGCACATTGCAAAATTCTAACTTTTTATTGTATTTATCTATTTATTTCAAGGTAAACTAGTATTCTGTTAGAGAAAGCAGTGATAAAATATTACCTACATCAGATTGGATGCCAAACAATAGCATAAATAGCATTACTAGCTGCATGAAAAATATCCTACAACCCCTTTTGATATATTTAAACTGTCTCCTAAACAGAGATAATGCCAGTTCTGAGATTTAATGTATACATTTACCCTGATTTTAAGCTGAGAAGCCATCATAGTCTTTGTACTAAGCTGACATCTGAGAAACTGATGCTCACTCATACAATCAACCAGATAAACAGGCATCATTCCATGCATAGAAATTAAAGAGATTGTTATGCTCTTGCAGTCTGCCAACACGTGCATGTGTGTTCACATTGATGCAATGCACTACAGCTGTCTGAGTAAGGTGAATGGGAACATACAGTATTAGCTGCCTCCAGTAACCTAATCTGGTCCTGCATATTTTTTGTAGATGACCTTGCCATCGCTAGCACAGTCTGATCAGAGCCAAGCCTTTGATGATTTTACCACATTAAATTTAATGTGCCCAGTTCCATGCTCTACAATTAGCTTCCATGCATAAGCAGCCTCAATTACCAGTGTTCATGCTGGTGGTTTCTAGATAAACAAGAAATCTAGTGGGGAGCTGTGGTTCATCCAAAAATTGAAAATTTGCTGAGAATGGACTCCCCAGCAGGCCATCCAAGATCATCAGAGCAGATCTGGAGAAATTTTGCATTACATCACTTGCTCACCAATAGATCCTCTGCAGTGAATGGGTGCCGTCAGAATGAGAGTCCAAACCAATGATAAAAGCGTCACAATAATCCACAAGTAATCCACATAGCGCCAGTCAATCAGTTTTGTTTAGAACAGTTTTGGACTGTTATCACATATAAACAATACTTGATCTTTACATATTTATCTCCTGATTCAGACAAGATTACTTTAAATAGAGGACATGTATTTTAAGCAATGCTTTTAAGTAAAAAAAATTCTGTTTACTACAAACAACCAGCTTTTCACTTCACAAGATGTTAATTGACAAACTGGAGTCTTGTGGATTACTTGTGGATTATTGTAATGTTTTCATTAGCTGTTTGTACTCTCATTTTGACGGCACCCATTCACTGCAGAGGATCCATGTGATGCTAAATTTCTCCAAATCTTTTTTAAAGAAGAAACAAACTCATCTACATCTTGGATGGCATGAGGGTGAGTACATTTTCAGCAAATTTTCATTTACTGGGTGAACCATTCTTTTAAAAATCTGTATTTATATGCATTTGGCAAGAAGGGGAAATCCTAAGGCCCTGATATATACATCAAGCAGAATCAAAGAATGAACATGCTCTGATGTCGTTTTGAACCAAATTAAGGCAAAATAGAGATAATAGTTTTGGGCATTTAAAACATCTTGCCAGAGCGAAATTTCTGGCTGGTAAACACCTTTAAACTTCCATTGGTCTGTGGTGATTATGTAATAGGTAGATGTGGCTATGTGGCTCCGCCTTCTTTGACATGGGAATCTTCTCCGGTTTCATTTCTTTTTTAGTCTGTTGAGGTCCAATGTGAGTAATAATGCAAACACTGACAGCTGCTTTATAGTAGTAAGTGAAGTTGTAATTCTAACTGAAAGCAACACTGACACTTTTTCATGTTTAATACTGTAAAGCCACTTGTCATTTATAACAATCTATTATATTATACTGCTATATGTGACTTAACTGGAGTGCGAAACTGCAGCATTGTTATAACATATCCACATCGCTATGATCAGATGCTTTCTTAAATGTTGTTTTCTCACTGCTGTAATTTTTAATTGTGTATTTATTTCATTATTGAGAGGAACGTGTGCAGCACATATTAACAGATTCATCCAAATGCCGCTCCCAGCAGCGTTGGATGTTAGCTAACACTATTCCACTGCTCAGGTATTTCAAACTTTGCTTAACCCTTAATCAAAGAAATAAAAAGAAATTTGCCGTGAGTATATTGGGGCCTTTAAACTAACACCATAGTGCCCAAGAGCAAGATAAATAGTTTCAGTCACTGCAGTAAAACTGTACTGTAATTTGCTCATTTAATGCTTAGATATAAAAGTGTCCTCTAACTGAAAAATTACCTTATTTTTATAATAATCATCTAAATAAAGAATAAACGTTATAATAACCATTCATGAACTGGCTAGGGAGCAACAAGACTTTTCTGAGAGCCAACAAAGCTGCCAAAACTATACTGCTATACAAATCATTTAAAGAAAAGCCCATTAAAGCCACAGAGAGGTTAGTTTAATAATTGAATATTTTGTTTAATAAAACATATTGCTTAATATTAGTGCAGACTATATGCACACACAAATGGATAGCACAGATTTTGTTTGTTTACTTGTACAATTTGCTGAAAAGCATGCAAAAGCAAAAAACATTAGCTACTCTAAGAGTAAAAAAAAAACTGAGTTAAATATGAAATCAGATCGCTTAGACCAAAGATTTTCAAACATGGGCCCATGAACCCCTAATGGACCACAAGGTGTTTGAGGATCCATAGAAAAATTTAGAAAAAAAAAGACTACACAAAATGTATGTTTTAGGGATGAGAAATTAAAAATATTAACTTAAGACATTAATTAAATATGTTTAATACAATATTTTAATACATTTACCAAATTTGATTACAGTTTTTATTACAAAATTGTTTAAACTGAAATAGTCAAAAATGTTTACGCACCTAATATTACTCTAATAATAGCCAGAATGTAATGAAATTTAATACAAAGTAAAGTAAAAAATATATTTAAAGAATCTTCTTTGGCTTTAGTATAGTGACAGTATAAAAGCCTATTATTTTATTTTGGAAACAAACAAATGAAGAAACAATATATAAATAGCTATATAATATATTCATTTATTTAATTTATTATTTATAATACGATTTATTATTCATTTATTTATATTATGAATTTGTGCATTAGTTACATTCACTTATATGTTTCAATCTGGGTTTTACAGTCATTCCCAATGTTAACGTTCTTTGACATACTCATATTCTGCCATATGGAGGTCTTTCTATGCTCAAAAAACTATCCAATCAGCAGTAAACAAATCAGACAGTGCAGACACATCTCTCTAGAAAATAACAGTGACGGATGGAGAAGCATGATTGATAATTATAGTTAGTGTGCAGGTGAACCAACAGCAGCGTAGTGAGGAGAAGTGAAGCTTTTTGATCTCATTTTAGAGGCTGTCAAGTGTAAATGTGCTGCCAGGCCGTGCCAGACCCAGAGCGAAGGGACTGCAGTTCCTACCTCATTTAGCTGTTTTTGAAGATGTGTGAGTTTGATAAAGCTATCTGCCATGCTATCCCTCAGTCTCAATAGACAGGCAGGCTGATAGCGCCAGACACTGCTGTCTATCTCAGCTGCCGCTCTTCCTTTGCATACTTGCCTCTCTGAGCCGCTGAACATGCTCTTATCTCTGACTTCCTGCCAGTGGTCCGATCGGATAGATGGCTGGCTGAAGAGGGCACCGGGGTGGGTTCGTTTCCAGCAAAGGGGGAAAATGAATGCGTGTGGGGTGGCACATGCAACTTTGGATCGAAAACTTAAAGGGGTCATATGATGCGATTTCAAGTTTTCCTTTTTCTTTGGAGTGTTACAAGCTGTTCGTGAATAGATAAGATCCCTAAAGTTGCAAAGACTAAAGTCTCAAACCCAAAGATATATTATATATAAAAGTTAAGCCTCGTCCGCGCCCTCCTAAAATGCCTCGTTTAAACACGCCCCCACATGTCTATGTCACTGTGTGGAAAGATTTGTTGTAAAGATTTACAACAAATGTATACGCAATGAAAGAAGGCGTAACTTTGATTCTCGCTGTAGTATTGTTGTGTTTCAGAAAGGCGGGGCATAGAGGAGAAACAATAATGTACAGTATGTGGAAAATAATGTTTTTTGAACCTTAAACCGCATAGACATATTTCATTACACCAAATACATAAAATAATGTTCTTTTTTAGCAACGTCATACAACCCCTTTAAAAAACCCAATGGCAAAATGCAAGGACGGAAGGTCACAGCACCCTCCCACTCTTTCAGAAGGAGAACAAGTTCTGTTTGTCTCTTCAGACAATTTGATGAAGGCAAAATTACTCCTGACATGTTTTTGGCACTTTTCAGAACCTCTGATCCAAATACATCAAGCTGATGCCTTTGGACTGAGAAAAATCATGACAACTGATTTTCAACTGAGCTTTCAACAACTATAAAGATTTTTTTGACCATCTTCTTCTGGCAGGTTGGTTGCATACCATGACTTGGATTTGTTGGGAAACTGGAGTAAAAATTCAGCTTTGTCATCAAAGGAATAAATATATTAAAATAGAAAACAGTTATTTTAAATTGCAATAAACTACAAATACAATATCTTGATTTTCTCACTATCTTCCAACTCAAGAACACAAACTTTTTGAAGGCTTTGCCATCAGGCTTAGATGCTCTAACTCACATTTTACTTTTATCTCCTTCGCATTGTGAGGCCCAATGTTTTTCCTAGAAGACGTCGTTATGGTTTTAAGTGAATTCTAAATAAGTAATATCTGTGATAAATGTTTTATTCATTTTCACATCAAAACTGTACTGACATTTTGCCTTGACACTCCGGTCCTCATGAGAGTTAAAAGACAATGGAGGACGTTCACACTAATCTGGGCAGCCAATTATTTCTTCTTTTAAGCAGACCATCCCTTTGTTAATTTTCTTTCGTTTTCCAATTAAGCGAGATAAAACATAAAAGCATATCAGCATTAATGCCCATCCTGATTTCTTTAAAGGGGTGTTTTTATGCATGCATAGTGAAGAAAGTTCTCAAATCCTTTCTAGTGCTGGTCTCTCAGCAGACAAAATTCAAAGGCCTTTGTAAGTCAGTGGCCAATGCACAAGGGAGAGTGAGAAGATCTGAGGATCTATTCTCATGGTACTCAGTTTTGGGCTCTGTACATTTCTGAACTTGCCTCCAAAGTGGTACGTGCTTCCTGTTGTGATCTGGACAGGCGAGGTGGTTCTCACTGCTGATGCTTCATCCCCATCAATGGTCAGCATGGCAAAATTCTCTTTGGCCAGGAAACGAACATCATGCCATTCTCCATCATTCAGACCAGAACCTATAAAAAAGATGGAAAACTATTGATTAACATCCAAAACAACGCTGCAACCTTTTCACTGCTGAATCTGTCAAGTAAAAATGTGTACTTACCGTACACCTTGAATACATGTGATCTTAATTATTATGGAAAAATCATAGAATAAACATTTCTCAAGTTAAAAAGTATATTTTAACAAATATCATGAATTCTTAAATCATATCATACCAACATTCTTTTGGGTAGTCACATTACATGACATTTTGCAACCTAAACTTGTCCTAAAAAGGTTAAATTACCTTATATTTTAAGAGTAATTAATCTTGATAAATAATTATGGGTTCCCCTTCAGGAACTCGAGCTGCGTCGAGAATCGCTTTGGGAACGCCCCTGCGTGACCACGTTCTGAAGCACGTGTCAAATCAGCCCAATAGAGCAACGAAACGTCACGAGCGGGGTGACGTAAGCACCAGAAAGTATAAAAGCGCATTCGGCAGAGCGCAAGACAGCTTCTGCTCTTCAGTAGCGCTCTGTGTATGTGTCTGTCTATTTATTGTTGTCTGTCAGCACAAGCATTCATATCATGTCTAAGAAAGACTCTCAAGCTCTCGCCTGGCCGTGTTTGATGAGAGCGGCCAGGCTCGCAATCCCGCTGGCAGCAGTCCCGCTGTTGCCGAGGCACAGCGTAGTGCATGTCACTCGGCTTTGGCAGTACTGTATGTTACTGAACGGAGCCCAATTTTTGTAATTAGCTTAGAATAGAGCCATCTCTCCTGGTTGAAAACACACGCTAGTCTTAATTTCTGAAGGTGAAGCATTAAATTATCCGCCAGCATTAGCTACTGTAATCTAAAATATTTATTCAGTAGCGCAGTGATACAAAAATTGGGTTTTTGTGGTTTTTAGTGAATATCTGTTAGCTTTGAGGTCATTTGCATGCTCAAAGTTGAGTTAATTATCTTTTAACATGATATTAAAGCACTCTTTCTTTTCTAGACCAAAACTATTCATGGCTTGATGGTCTTGCACTCCAGTAAAATGCTCTCTAAAAGGAAATGTCCAGCATTATGCTATATCCTGCAATACCTTGATGGATTTATGTAAGGATATTTTTTTGTGGACTTCAGGTTGGTGTTCATCACCATCATCCCTGGAACTGACCTAGCTCTCTGTGCCCACCCTATCTGTCAATGGATCACCAACTTCCTAACAGACAGACAGCAGCTAGTAAGACTGGGACAACTCACATCTAGCGCCTGTACTGTCATCACCGGCACCCATACAGGGATGTGTGCGATCTCCATTACTCTTCCCCATTTTTACAAACAACTACATCTCTAAAAACACTTCTGGCAAGCTTTTGAAATTTGCACACTACAGTCATATATATATAACTATTTACTAACATAAATACAGTACATACATACATACATAGCCACATACATGCCAATTGTGCAATAATGTGCGCAATACAATATTTCATAAGGCTTAATTTTGCATTATCGCCTTGTACTGGTTTGTGTGTGTTGCTTGTCTTTGTAATGTTTGTTAATGGCACATTCTTTAGTGTTGTTTGTATTGCAGATAAGACTTAATTCTGCACTATCGCCTTGTTTATACTTGTTTTTGTGTGCTGTTTGTCTCTGTATTGTATTGTATTGTTAATGGTGTTAATGGTATACTCTTTATTGTTGTCTGTATGCAGACGTAGATGTTTAGTTGCACATATGTAACTATATGTAACGGCACTGTAAGGATTGCTCTACTTTCGCTGTGCTCATACAGTGACAATAAAGAATCTTGAATCTTGAATAACCGATAGAATCATCTCTAGGTTACGTATGTAACCATGGTTCCACGAGGGAACGAGACGCTGCGTCTCTTTGCCATACTCCCTGCATCCCTGCAGGCGCTACTTTATCGAAGCTGACTTGCGCTCTGCCGGATGTGCTTTTATACTTTCTGGTGCTTACGTCACCCCGCTCGTGACGTCTCGCTGCTCCATTGGGCTGATTTGACACGTGCTTCAGAACGCGGTCACGCAGGGGCGTTCCCAAAGCGATTCTCGACGCAGCGTCTCGTTCCCTCGGGGAACCATGGTTACATATGTAACCTAGAGACGTTCTCTCTCTGTTATCATTTCCTGTTGTTGTTTTTTTCCTCTTGTTTCTAACACAGTAGTCATGCCAAATGACTTTTATTTAGTGCACAAATGTTTTTCAAATATTAAACTGTAATAATATTTCAGAATATGTTTTTTAACTGTAGTTTTGATCAAATAAATGCAGCATTGGTGAGCAGAGACTTCTTTCAAACAAAAACAACCTCAAACTTTATATTTTAAGAAATACCAATATCATATTTCTGTCTTAATTAGGTTTTCTATGCTAAAATCTTTTAATGAAGCTTTCTACTTTAACATTATATCAGGAAAAATTTCTCACCTTGACTTTCTGCCTACAATCAATCAATCAATCAATCAATGAAAAAATCCTAAATTAAAAACATAATTAAAGAGGTGTACTCAAGTCAATGTACGCATGAATTGCATTTTCAATTAATTATCAAATAAAAAAAAGAGAGTCACTGACCCACATACAAACATACACTGAACAGGATTTTACATCTGGAATTCAAATGCAATCCGCAATAGGCTGCTGATGATAAAAAGACAAGTCAAAAAGTCTACACCGAGGGCAGATTCAGGACGACAGGGGTTCAGGTTAACAAACCCACAGCAACTGTTGATTTGACAGCTCTGATTGATAAATCAGAGAGTTATTATTTACTCTGATGCCATAATGAAGGGCAAAAGTCATCAGAACATAATAACCAGGTTGATGGTAGCTTAGAGCAATGAATTCCTTTCCACCATTAATCATGCACTGGTGGAAAGACATTAGCTCATTGGAGGTCCCCAGTGGCCAGTTTACCCCTATCTGTCACACACCACAAAACACTGAACAACTGTTCTCTCCTTCCTGACCGCTCTCACTCTCAGGCACAGTCCACTTGGCACGAACAAGGCCAAAGTACCAAAGTACACGCCATTACCTCTGATAAATTTGTCTCTCAGAAGTTGCTGGTGATACGAAGGGAAAGCGCTTTCTGCCATTTACTAGTATGTCATCCATCAGTTTCCCTCAATCTCTGTACATTTTGTGCTTGCATAGGTGTATGAAGCGAACGGTGCAGCAGACATGCCTGTCACGAGCTGCTCTGTGGTACAGTTGGACAAACAGATGGCTTTTGTGTACAAGATACATTACGTTAAGTGTCCTGATATGACAACACAACATCAAACGAGTGTCAGTGACGTCTGAGATTTGGGTGTACAAAGCTGATGAGATTAAAGTGTGAGTTGTGTCTGATTATTTCAGGATGCCCTGAAAAAAATAACAGCCTTTTTAAGCTGGTTTAGTTCTTATATAATCAGTTTCATGATGGTCAAACACATCTATCTTCAGCAATAACCAACTTGTGCCAGTAACAGACTAGAATTGGTCAACTAAAATTAGTTTAAACTGAAGTTTAAACAATATATTGCAATACATAAAAAAGCAAATAAGCACGTAGTCTTATACACAAACAAATGGCTGATTTGAACTAGTTCTTTTGAATCATTCAAGAGACTCACCAACTCAGAAGTTACTGGTCTGAATCAGTCTGACGAGTGAAAAATCTTAAATAAATGCATTTATTTATAATAAAATCAGCTAAAAGAAGTAGCAGATTAATATACAGAAATCTGACCTAAAAAAAGCCAAATTAAGAGAACTCTAATAAATGAAAGCATTTTTCCCTTTTCTGTCCCACGTTTTTGGGACACATTTTGGACAGAAGCAAATGATAATATGAACATATATATATATATATATATTATACATTCTAATGAATCAGTTTAATAATGAGAGGAGCCTGTATGTTGTCTGCCTCCTCTACCATTTGTGTAGTAATTAAAACTATCACAAGCTCTTGTTTGAAAGAAATATGAATAAATATATACTTTTTTTTTTTACGTTATGCATCTGAGTTTTGCCCATTGGTGAGTAAATTAATTAAAACATAAGTTAATTTGATCAGATTCTTTGTTACTTATCTCTAAAGACAGAAGTTTCATTGGTTGCCTTACAAAAAAATGATGCCGAAATTGTTAACTGATTATAACTATAAAACAAAATCAAATTTATGAATCGGCTATAATAATTGTGCGTTTTTTAATACACATTCACAAAGAATGTATTAAAATTTAAATGAACAATCATCAAAATATGTCAATATGATCTCTAAATTTAAACCTTTTGTACTAGCAATGCTTTAAAGTTTGAAAATACTCATTCATTTTGATTAATTTCTCAGAAAACAAGACATATGTTTAATGTTCAAGCAAATGTATCTTGTTTTCAGGATGTTAAGGTATTGGAAAACTAAATAAAATACTGAACAAGATACTTGTTTTTTTTGCAGTACATGCAACATTTATTGCAATGACTATGAATTTAAGACTTTCTGCTCGATTTAAGACTTTTTAGGCCCTAATTTGTGGAAGAGTGAATTAAGACTTTTTAAGCCCCACAGAAACCCTGTAAATGTTGTGATTAAAAGAATTGACTTATATCACCTGCCCCAAATACCATCCACCAGAAAAACACATAGACACACACACACAAAAAAGTTTGATAAAAATTCTCTCAGTGCACACATAATACACTCAAATGCACTCTAATTAGGTCAGAAAGGTGGATCAGGGGGCACAGTCTTGATGTACATCTCCACAGCATCACTATGTCCAGCCTTTTCGCAACTTTCCTAATTACACTACATCAGTGTGAGAGGGCAGCACCCCTGCATGTCCTCATGAGAGACCCTGCAGTCGCTACCCACCGTCACGGATTAATTAACACATTGGGGTCCCTTGAACTCTGACAGATCAACCTACAGTCATTACTTTCCACCTGCTTAATCAGCTTTCCCATGATAACCTTCAGCTCCTCAGGATCACACACATACAACATGGTCTC